GCTGCTGCTGCTGTTGCTGCTGCTGCTAGATAAACCTTATCTCTCCCTTACACAGGGGTGATGCATTGTGTGTGCTGCTGTTGCTGCTGCTGCTGCTGCTGTTGCTGCTGCTGCTACCACCTGTATTCTCCCTCTATCCTTACAACATCTCCTGCAACTTCTGCTGCTGCTGTCCCCGCTGCTGCCGCTGCTGCTGCTGCTGCTGCTGCTGCTGCTGCAGGGGGCAAGATACTGAAGAAGTATTTCTCTTCTAAGCTGTACGGCTTCGAGCGGGCGAGAGAGAAAGCGCTGCAGGCGAGGAAAGACATGGAGCTGGATTTGCTGCGGAGCCAGCGGCAGCAGCAGGAAGCTGCTGCTGCTGCTGCTGCTGCTGCTGCAACAGCAGCAGCAGCAGGAACGAATGGAAACAGCAAAGGATGTACAAATGCAACTGCAGCACAAACAAATGGAGTAACAGCAACCACACCAACAGGACTCCTAGCAGCAACAGCAGCAGCAGCAGCAACTGCAGCACCACTGCCACCCCTTCTTTCTGCTGCTGCTGTTGAGGAGGAGCTGCTGCGGCCTGAAGACAACCTAAAGAAGGGGATGTCTCTGTTTCACTCTGCTGCTGCTGCTGCTGCAGTGATGCTAGCGCAGCAGCAAGTCATGCAGCAGCTGCTGCTGCTGCAGATGCATTCCTCAGCTACAGCAGCAGCAACAGCACAGCAGCAGCAGCAGCAGCAGCGGCAACGCCCTGGTGATAGTCTAATGTCACAGGCAGAGACAGCAGGGTACGCGCTGCAGCTGGAGCAGCTGCAGCGGCTGCAGCAGCTGCAGCAGCTGCAGCAGCTGCATCAGCAGCAGTTTGCTACTACCTTTCTTCTTGCTGCTGCTGGCTGCATCGCGGACGGCAGCAGCAGCACCGTCCCTACACCCAGCAGCAGCAGCACACCAGGGGGCAACAGCAGCAGCTCAGGCTGCTGCAGCAGCAGCTCAGGTTGCTGCTGCAGCAACACGCCTGGAGGGGAGCCGTGCGGTGCCTCTGTCTGCAAGCTAGAAAGGCAGCAGGAGGAGCAAGACCCTCAGCTGCAGCAGCAGCANCGTGCGGTGCCTCTGTCTGCAAGCTAGAAAGGCAGCAGGAGGAGCAAGACCCTCAGCTGCAGCAGCAGCAGCAGCAGCAGCAGCAGCAGCAGCAGCAGTTGCTGCTAGACGGGCCCAGCAGAGGCAGAGGGGGGTCACGCACTGGCTATACATCTCCCAGCGGCTTTAGAAAGCGTTGCTGCAGCACAGTGGGTAGCGATGGCTCTGCTGCTGCTGCTGCTGCTGCTGCTGCTGCTGCTGCTCTAGGCAGGCAGCAGACTGCAGCAGCAGCAACAGCAGCAGCAGATGCTCCCCTGCTGCAGCAAACAAGCAATGAGTCGCCCTTCACTGCTGTAGCATCCTTGCTGGCTTCTCTTGGGGCTCAGGGGAAGAATGGCAGCAGCAGCAGCAGCAGCAGCAGCAGCAGCAGCAACGGCAGCAGCAACGGCAGCAGCAGCAACGGCAACAGCAGCAACAACACTAAGAGAAGAGCAACTGTTGCAGCAGGGCAGCAGCAAGATATATGCCGCAGCCGCGAGCTGTCGCTGCAGCAGCAAGCAGCAGCTGCTGCTGATTCCTCTGGCTTGTGTTCTCCATTAGAGCTGCAGCAGCAGGTGCAGCAGCGGCTGCAGCAGCTGCTGCAGCAGCTGCAAGGCCAAGATGAAGGCAGCAGCAGCACACGTGCGGACGACGCGAGACAGCAGCAGCAGCAGCAGCAGCAGCAGCAGCAAGATGCTGCTTCTCCTTCGTTGCTTCCTTGTCTTCAGGAGCTGCTGCAGTCCCTCGGCGCGGTGTCTCCTGGGCAGCCAGACCCAGCAGCAGCAGCAGCAGCAGCAGCAGCAAGTGCTGCTGCTGGAGCTCAGCAGCAGCAGCAGCAGCAGCAGCAGCAGCCACAAGATGAAGATACTGCGCGCCTACGTGAGGCAGTGCAGCAGCTGCGTGAGGTGCAGCAGCAGTTCTTGCAGGAGCACCAGGGCCGCCAGCAGCAGCAGCAGCAGCGGCAGCAGCAGCAGCAGCAGCAGCAGCAAACTGAAGAAGATGAAGACATGCATCAAGAACTACAGGGCTTGTCTTCTGACTCTGCTGCTGCTCTCCTCGCAAGCAGAAATAAAAAGCACCGCATCCCAGCATGATGGTGTTTCTCCCGTGCTGCTGCTGCTGCTGCTGCTGCTGCTGCTGATGCTGCAGCGGCAGCCAGCAGCAGCAGCAGCAGCAGCAGCAGCAACGGCAGCCAGAGTTGTTACCTTGGCCATTCTTCTGGCCGCAGCAGCAGCAGCAGCAGCAGCAGCAGCAAGCAGCAGCAGCAGCAGCAGCAGCAGCAGCCAGTCTTTTGGATTCTTTTATTGTTTTGGATTATTTGTCCCCTTATTGCTGCTGCATATTTCAAGCAGCAGCAGCAGCAGCAGCAGCAGCAGCAGCAGCAGCTGTAGATGCTGCTGCAGCAGCACAGGAAAGTTGCTGCATGTCCTCTTCGTTGGCTTTGGCAAGATTTGAGGTGTCTTCTTTGCAGCAGCAGCAGCAGCAGCTACTGCAGCAATCATTACTAGTCATTTGAATGCATAGGACAGTTTATAGCTTCAGGCAGCACTGAAGCCGCAGCAGGAGAGCAGCAGCAGCAGCAATTGCAGCAGCAGCCAATAGCAGCAGCAGCAGCAACAGCAGCAGCAGCAGCAGCAGCAGCAGCAGCAACAGAAGCAGCAGCAGCAGCAGCGCTGCTGCTCTTAGAAGGGTTTGTGCTGTTCTCAACAGCGACGAGAAGTGCAGACACTTCCGCGGTGTCTTGGTGCTGCTGCTGCTGCCGGTGGCAGCAGCAGCAGCAGCAACAGCAGCAGCAGCAGCAGCAGCAGCAGCAGCAGCAGCAGGAACTTGTCCCGCCTTTGAACCCTGTTGGGGAAACCAACATCAGCGCCAGCTGCTTCTATTAGTTGCTGGTGTACCTGCTGCTGCTGCTGCTGCTGCTGTTGCTGCTGCTGCTACTGCAGCAGCAGCAGCAGCAGCAGCAGCAGCAGATGCTCTAGAACAGCCCCTTTCGTGTTCGCACAACGGGCTGTACAGACACCTCGATGCAGCCTTCAGCATTTCGCTGAAAGCAGCAGGGGGGACTG